CCCGAAAAACCCACAACAACCATACATCCTTTTACTTCTAAAACTACTACTGAACATGTGGCTCTCACTGTAAGTTTGTACTTGAACAGCAATAGTTTGGCATTAAATTACAACAGGAAGATGCAGGAATAATTTATTATTGTTTCCTTTAAGAAGTCTGAAAAGAGACAGTGCAGACTGTGTAAGAGTACAGCTGTTTCTGCCCTCATGAGTGAACATAGTTGACTAGAAAACTGTTAGTATCTTCCACACCATGCCCCTTCATTCAAGGAAAGGTAACAGCTACTTCCAACCATGGGGACAAAGTCAAGTGGCATGGCAGTAGTCTAATGCCAAAAGTGCAAACATCAGAGAAAGAAAGAACTTTATGGCTTTTCTTTAAAGAAGACCCCAGTATTTTAGAAATAAGGAACAGATGTCCTGAAATTACAGTGGTGCCTCGCATTACAACATTAATTCGTTACAGGGAAATCGCTGTAGAACGAAAACATTGTAATACGAAAATAAAAAGCCCATTGAATTGCATTAAAACCTGTTTAATGCATTCCAATGGGCTGGAAACTCACCGTCCAGCGAAGATCTTCCATAGGGCGGCCATTTTCGGTGTCTGTGCAGCGAGGAATCCATCCCAGAAAACAGCAGGGAGCCATTTTATTTACCTGGCGGCCATTTTGAAACCGCCGATCAGCTTGAGGAAAATCGTCGTTTTGCGAAGAATCGGTTCCTGAAGTAGGGAACCGATCATCGCAAAGCGAAAAAACCTCATTCAGACCATCATTTTGCGATCGCAAAAAGATCGTCGTAATGCGATTTCGTCATAATGCTGGGCAATTGTAAAGCGAGGCACCACTGTAAATATTAAAGCTGTACCCCTGAAAATGAAGAAAAAAATAATGCATCTTCTCAACATCTGACATCTAGCTGGCATTATCAGACAGCAAAATACCAATCCATCAATGCATGCCACAGAAGCTGTTTGTCCCATGATCTACTCCAAAGCTAGCTTTTGAAGGATTCCTCCTCCCTGGCTACTCATCAGACTTGGTTGACAGGTAGACAGCTTTTAAGTGACAAATGAGATAATAACTCTATTTGGGTGACCCTTATACTACTGTGGCCCAACAAGCAGGAACAAAAAGTCAAACTCATGTGTACCAAATCTCTAACTAGTGGACAATTATCCTACCAATATGCTACTGAAGGCAACCTACTAGCCCTATGAATGCAACAGAATACTATAAAGGAGTTTCTACTTTCAAATAAAATTATAGCTCAAGCTTTAATTTACATAGCCTCCACCACAAGTTCCTTGTAGGTACAGGAAATGACAGTGGTTAACATCAGGACAAGGCCCATATTTGACTTACATTTCAAGACCAAACCACGGTAAGGGTGTGTGCAGCAGTAATCAAGTTCCTTCCTGGGAAAAACGAAAAGTTGCGGCTGTTGACTTATGCATAACATCTTGAACTCAATCACTATGCACTGCTTTTTGGTCTGAGACATGGTTTTTTGTAAACTGAAGAACATCAAGAGACTGAGACAGGAAGAATCTCTTATAGACAAAAAAATAGTAATAAGCAGCAGTAGTTATAGTTATTGTAATCTACAGTGGTGCCTCGCAAGACAAAAGTAATTCATTCCGCAAGTAGTGCTGCCTTGCGAAATGTTCATCTTGCAAAAAGCAGTTTCCCATAGGAATGCACTGCAATGCATTCCTATGGGAACCTCGCAAGACGAATGAATTATTTTCGTCTTGTGAGGCATCGGTCATGCGGAGAGAAATCATCTTGCGAAGCACGGCCATAGAAGAAGCCGTCTTGCGAGGCACCACAGCGATCGCAAAAAACATTCGTTTTGCGGTTTTTGGCCCACGAGGCATTCATCTTGCGAGGCATCACTGTACTGTACTACAGTGCTTTGTTTTAGAAAGCTTTAAGACATAGTCCAGAATTTTGATAAATTCATAAAATGGAATCTTAGCCATCTCCAAGAAAGTACTTTGTATACACAAACTCATGGAGTATTTTGTTTCTAACTAATCCCAATCAACATTGGTGAACCTCAACTACTCTAGAATGCTTTGTTGCCAGCAACAGGTTGTTCAGAGTCTATAATGCCATGTTTATGTTTCTGGTTTACAGTTGGCTCAATTCAAAGTATTAGTCTTTACTTTTAAATTCCCAAACATTTTTGGGATGAGTATCTGTCTGGGGTCACCTTTTCCTATACAGTGGTGCCTCACTTAGCGACGGCTCTGTTTAGCGACGAAATCACTTTGTGACGAACTTTTTGTGATCGCAAAAGTGATCGCTTTGCGATGTTCCCTATGGGGGAATTTCGCTTTGCGATGATCGGTTCCCTGTTTTGGGAACCGATCATTGCAAAGCGACCATTTTCGCACAGCTGATTGGCGGTTTCAAAATGGCCACCAGGTAAACAAAATGGCCATCCACTGTTTTCTGGGACGGATCCCTCACTTAAAAGGCACCGAAAATGGCCGCGATATGGAGGATCTTCGCTGAACGGTCAGTTTTAAGCCCCTAGGAACGCATTGATCAGGTTTTAATGCGTTTCTATGGGCTTTTTAATATTGCATAGCAACGTTTTCGTTCAACAGCGATTTTTGCGGAATGAATTAACATCACAATGCAAGGCACCACTGTATAGGGAATATTTCTTTAGATTGATTTTTGAGATATTTCACTCACTAGAATTGTTGTTATTATTACTAAGGAGTGGAGACAGAGAGAGCGAGACGAACCACAGCTGATCAGTGGGGCTTTGCGATGATCGCTTCCCTGCGATCATCACAAAGTGAATTTTCCCCATAGGGGCCGTCGCAAAGCGATTGCTTTTGCGATCGCAAAAACAGCGTCACAAAGCGATTTCTTCGCTATGTGGAGAGATCACTATGCGAGGCACCATTGTATATGTTCACCTCATACATGAAATAATTTTCAGAGGCCTTTATCCACATATTATTGCTGTCTTAAATCTAGTGACAGCCATGGGCAACACAACCTTTTATACAGAAGTGTCAGGGATACAGAACGTTCCACTAATCAATCCTAATTTTGTCTCTGCCCTGTTGGCCTTCAAATTTTAGAATAAGATGATTCTTGAGGGCTGTTGGGCTGTGAAATATTGGTGTGGTTTTATTTTATTGACTTATTTAGCAGGAACGTATCATTTTTGTATATTATATATTTATTTTTATGTCTAACATTTTTTACTTAGGAGTAAGCCATCTTTTAAGTCCATAGTAGATGGAGGCATATTATACCAATACAGTGGTGCCTCGCTTTATGACGATAATCCGTTCCAGCAAAATCACTGTACAACAAAATTGTCGTCAAGCGAAAGTTAAAAACCCATTAGAATGCATTAAAAATGGTTAATGTGTTCTAATGGGCAAAATACCTCATCGTCCAGCAAAGATCCTCCATAAGGCAGCCATTTTCTGGTGCCTGTAAAGCGAAAAAGCCCTCCTAAAGACAGCAGGGAGCTATTTTGCACAGTGGGCGGCCATTCTGAAACCCGACAATGAGCTGTTTTCTGGTTGTCGTTAAGCGATAAATCAGTACCCGAAGCAGGGAACCAATGATCGTCAAGCAAAAAAGCCCTTTGAAACATCGTTTTGCAATTGCAATAGCAATTGCAAAAACATCGTCGTGAAGCGATTTCGTCGTATAAGAAGGTAATCATCAAGCAGGGCACCACTGTACTGTTTTTAAAAATAATATGTGCATTAATTTTATTCACAGAATCAGTATCTGTGCCCTCCATATAAGCAGAGCCAGTGTGATGTAGTGGATAGAGTGTTGGACTAGGATGTAGGAGATCTGGGTTCAAATGCCTGCTAGACCATGGAAACTACCGGGGAGTTGTCTCATAAAACCACTCCTTAAATATTTCACGTACAGTGGTGCCTCGCTTAAAGAGCGATTCATTTAACGATGAACCCGCATAGTGATTTAGTTTTTGCAATCGCAAAAGCAATCGTATAACGATGTTTTAAACGGGAAAACATCGCTTTGCAATGATTGGTAAGCTGTTTCGCTTATCGATTATCGCATAACGACAGCTGATTGGCGGTTCCAAAATGGCTGGCAGGTGAAAAAAATGGCCACCCGCTGTGTTTTCGCACCCTTTCCTCGCTTACCGGTCAGCGAAAATGGTGGCTGCATGGAGGATTTCCGCATAACGGTGAGGTTTTTGCCCATAGGAATGCATTAAACATGTTTTAACGCGTTCCTATGGGCTTTTTTGCCCCGCATAGCGACGAATCCACATAGTGACAATTTTTTTGGAACGGATTGTCGTTGCTATGCGGGGCACCAATGTACCTTTAAAACCCTATTAGGGTCAGCTATGACTTGACAGTGCGTAACAATAACATCCTAAACATGAAGCTCTTTCCTCCAGGACTGTTAGGCATCCACATACTGTACTTGCTGCTTTTCAGAAGCTGCATAGCAACTTCCTGTTTAAGCAATCCAAGCTTCTGTCTCATTATTCTGTTCACTTATCCTTGCACTGTTTTAAAATGCTTTTTATAACTAATATTTTCACTTTCTATTTTAATTGTACTACACTGCCATTTAAAATACCATTTCAGAATTTTTATTTACATATATAGTACCTAGATAAAGAGATAGAAAATAATTGTGCAGCTCAGCAGAGTAGTCGGACTGGCAAAGAAAATCAAAGAATGCTTGAATCTGATTGTTCTGTTGCTGCCTTCCTCATGTGTCGAGTTGACTTATTCTAGAAAATATCATCCCAATTTGATCCATATAAATTTATCTAGGCATCCTTTTATGATTCCACAGTTTAGTAGTCCTACAAGGCAATGCAGATACTGTTGAATTTTTTATTTTACTTTTT